GATAGATAGATAGATAGATAGATAGATAGATAGATAGATAGATAGATAGATAGATAGATAGCTCTCCATCCGAAGCATCCTTGCCAAAGTTAAAAACTCTCTCTTTGCTTTGGTTATGAAGCTCACATTTCTTTTCGTCCATTTTACACGCTATTGTCTCTCAACCGGGTTATAAATAGCATATTTGAGGCCGCATGCGCTGCTCTCTGCCTTCACACATGCCCACACTGAAGTAAGAAGCTCGTGATCTCGACCTGATTTAATAACAATCGCTTTCAAATGGATTGATCAAGTTGCCATATAAATCACCCCAAGTTTCCCACAAGATCTCAAGAGTATACAGAAGCATTGACCTCAGCGGGAAGAAGAGGAACCTTCTCAATGCTCAACCTCCAGCAACTGAATCCTAAACCAGGGGTCCCCCAAACTTGGCAACTTTAAGACTTATGAACTTCAACTCCCAGCATTCTGGGAGTTGAAGTCCACAAGTCTTAAAGTTGCCAAGTTTGGGGACCTCTGTCCTAAACCAACGTACCAAATGAACAGGGAATGCCATGAGAAACACCGTGATCTGTTGGATCGCCAAAAATGGGTTACTAACCTTCAAAAGGATCGACAAGGTAACTATTGCTGAAGTGATCCAGAAGGATGAGGTGGGAATAATTCAAGAAGAGATAGAGCACAAACTTATTAATGTTTCTTTTAGAATTAAGACATTTGGCTAATGTTCTATAAGATTCTCTACAGCTATGATACAAGATCCTCGAAAAGGACTTTACAGTCATGTATATATACAATTTGATGTAAATAATTTATCTCTAGAAACTCTTTTCAACACCATGTAGAAAAATAAAACAAACAAAATGGAAAGGAGTAAAGTCTTTACTCTAGATCAGGGGTGTCCAACCTTGGCAACTTTAAGACTTGTGGACTTCAACTCCCAGAATTCCTCAGCCACCCCTGCTCTAGATCAAGAAAATATTTCAGCTGTTAGGAACTACCAAAGCATTCTAGTCAATCTTTTTTTTTTTTTACACAACCTTTCCTCCTTTGTTTAAAGTCAAATACTTGGTTTATTGGAACATTTGTAGTGGGTGAGGAAACAGAATGCACAGACAGACACAAAATGTAAACAGGTTTTTTCATAGTTACATTCAGCTAACAGAACAGCATTTTTTTTAAAAAAAAAATCAGGTTTTCAGTACTCCTTCTAAGCTTTGCAAGAGAAGTGGATTACTTGTTCTCTCAATTGCTTAAGTTATTTTATTAAATATTTATGCAGCTTGTAAACAGCTTACAATAAATAGAACACAGGCAACGGGCTACAAAATAGCTCCTTTCTATATTCTAACATTGCTTTTAAATATGTAAAAAAAAGAAAAAGAAAAAACCAAAAACACGTGGCTTTAGACCACAGCTTAGTCAAAAGCATCTTGAATTTTTAAAACTATCTTAGCAGATGTTAACCAGGAATCAATATGTGAGTCACTGTAAATAATCATTATTTTAACATATACACACATGTGAAAAATTAGCTGAGGAGGGCAGGATTAAAGTAATTGGAAACTTTGGGGTAATTATAGAAATAAAGGATTAGAAGATGTAGAGGGGGGTCACACTTCTCCAAAGTTTGTTACAATACTGAGTATTGGGCTACAATATTTTAATCTGCCTTAGTACTCACAGAGTATGATTTGGCTACAGTACTTTAGAATAATTTTCCTGTTCTTGAGCAGAGTCAATGATTATAACTAAATGTAACTATGCTCCAAAACTACAATCCAGAATTAAAAACTGAAACAAAGAATTTGGCTTATAATCTAGTGAATTTTAAACATCTATAAATATTTGACATCTATCCAATATTGCGTACATTACCCTAATATGGATCAACTAGAATGTTGAAATACAATTTAAATAGTTCCCCTATATAAAGCACAGGGGAAGGAAAAAACCAGAAAAGCTTCACATTCTGTTCTGGTCATCAAATATTACTGCTTCATGCATACCTGGAATAAATCTTTTTTTTCTTAATTACAGATTATCTCAAAATGCTGGAATGAGTAAACTACAGGCAAACTACAGTTTTGTCGAATCATGCCTAGATTTTATATCAGATGAAAGAACAAAATGGTGAGTTTAAAACAGAGAAAGGTGTTTCCATCCGAAAGCAAGCCAATACACAGCTTGAATCTGGAAGCATGTGCATCTAAAATCAAAGTATTAATCCCCCTGTGGGGATTTGGAACAGAGAAACACATCTCAGTCCTTCTGCACAAATAATGGAAGCTTAAATTACTTTGAGGCAACATCACAGAATATTGCAATATTCTTTCAAATACATTTGCCTAAGCAGTTTCTTCATCTCGTGGCACTTCTTCAATATTAGCTTATCAATGTTAATTAAAGGGCAAGGCAGCCCTTCAGCTGAATTGGTAACGTGGTTTTTTTCCAATATAAAAAATTCTCTTTTATGTACAACGGTGGCTCGCTTTGGGGTTCTTCAAGACAAAAAAAAGCAGGATGAGCTAAATTATGCTTTGAAGAACTTTGGGGTGCTTTGATCTTCTTTCTTCTTGCCATTTTTGTCCCCAAACTTCCACATTAAGCAACAAGAAAAAAAGAAATCAAATTAATTTTAAGGCACAAGACACTATGGGGATTTGGAACAGAGGAAGAAATACCTGCACTGGGAAAAAAAAGAAATATGCATTTGTCAATAAGCGTTTCTTATTGGTTGCCCACTGCAGATCACCCATAAGATGCCTGCTTTACCAAGCTCTACATGTAAAGGATTTTTGAGATTAATCCAAAATATACTTGCTTGCTTTGCAGTGGAAAACAGGGAGAAAAACACAGGTTTAAAACCACCAACTACTGTATATCACCAGAATGGCCCTGTCACACAGTGTTAAGTCACACAGCTCTGAAACCCCACATTAAATGAAATTACAGTGGCAATTCCAAGAAGCCTAAGATATAGTTTTAGGCTTTGATAAAACTGCAGTGGCAAAGAAGGGAAAAAAAGTCCTGGCAAAAGCGCATTCCTGCTTTCACAGACTATATTCCTTTAACCGTTAAGACTCACATCGCGGGAAGACAAAAGAAAATACTTTCCAATTTAAACCCAAGGGCTTTCTTTCCATAATTTTAATGGAATTAAAGACAGAAATGCAGCTTTTTTCTTTTCTTTTTTTAAACCAGCAAAATACTCCGGCCTACATATTTATTTTTTTTAAAGAACATCTTCCTGGTTTCCTACAATTTTGCAAAAAAAGAAGAGCCAAACAACCCAAACTAGTCAATCACAGGTTAAGGGGGGGGGGGGGGGAGGAGGAGGAACAGGAGGAGGAGGAGGAGGAGGAAGAAAGGAAGGAAGAGGAGGAGGAGCATAGCTAATCCTGATTCAATCCTCGTTTTGGTACAAGTGTTATGTAAACAAGAGAGTGAAGCTTAAGGCTTAGAAAGAACACTGATCGCGACATTCCCCGTCTCACATCAAGACGTCCACGTCTCCTTCGTGGTCCTCTTCGGTCACTTTTAACGACAAGACCTCTTCGTTGAGGAACAAGCCGCTCAGCCTCTCCTTCCGTGCCTGCCGCTGCTCTTTCAGCTGCCTCTTGCGCAGAGCCTTTTGCTGGAGTTTGCGCTGCTTGGAGCGTTTCTGTCGAAACAGGAGAAGGGAAGAAGAAGAAGAAGAAGCCACAATCAGGGGTTTTTTTTTTCCCCACTTTTAAGATCAGATGAGAGGAGCTTTTCATTGTCACTTTTTTTTTCCTGTGAATGCATCGGCACATGAAATCCTGAGGCCCACTCTCAATAAATAAACACACACACACACACACGTTGTTCAGTGAACCTCTGCAGTTGTTAAGTTAGTAACCAGGTTATTAAGTGAAACTGGTTTCCCCATTGACTTTGCTTGCCAGAAAGTCGCAGAAAGGGATCACACGACCCCGGGACAGGGCAACCGTCATAAATGTGAGTCAGTTGGCAGCATGGGGAGGCTGCAAAAGGTCGTAACTACGAAAAACAGTCACCACATTTTTCAGTGACGTAACTTTGAAAGGTCACTAAATGAACTGTTGAGGACTACATGTGTGAGATAGATTTTATTTATTTATATATATTTATATATATGTATGTATGTATGTATGTATGTATGTATGTATGCATGTATGTATGTATGTATGTATATAATGTTTTCTTAAGTTTTCGCGGGTACTTACATGTATGGTATTCGGCTTGGTTCGGGTATATTCCCACGTCATTGTAGTTGTTCTTTTAAAGTTGTAGCAACGAGATTCTGCTGAAACGTTGCTACAACTTTAAAAGAACTACAATGACGTGGGAAAATACCCGAACCAAGTCGAATACCATACATACATACATACATACATACACACACACACATAAAGATATATAATATTCAGCTTTGTTCGGGTAATTTTCCCATGTCATTATAGTTGTGCTTTTAAAGTTGTAGCAACTGCTTGCACTGGCACGAAGCCGAAAGCACCAGCCTGAGGATGGGGAGTGGGACCTCGCCGAAACATCATACCAGCAAAGCTGGCTGGGGAATTCTGGGAGTTGAAGTTCGCCAGGCTTCAAGGGGCCAAGGTTGGACAGCCCTGCCTTAAGGAGTGACTGGGCAGGGGGGAACGCCGTCAGCCATGTTGTGCATATGCGATAAGGATTGACTGGGCGAGGTGGGTGGAGAGGGGCAGAGCTAGCCAGGAGCACGATTTGCTGGTTCTCCGAACTGCGCAGAATCATAACAACTATAGAACCGGTCCAAACTGGTAGAATCCCACCCAATATACACACATAAAAACACACACACACACGCACGTATAAATCACAGTCCATTTTGTATGCACAGCTTTTTAGGCTCAACTCTAATAAGATACAGATGTCTGAGTCCTCGACCCCTCAAAAGGTACCTAGGACCAAGTTCTGAAGTTCCAACAGCTGCCGCACTCCTCCCACACGACTGCAATTCAGCCACTGTCCTGTATTTACAGTGACTTCCAGTTTGGGGCAAAAACGCCCCCTACCAACAAGGGGTTTGCTTAAATGAGCGCCAAGTGGGAGCTTTACTTTTGAATCCCGGATGCGTTCCGCAGCGCTCGTCGATAAATTATTCTCGCTATGAGCCCGACTCAGGTTGGCGCTAGAATTCGAACCCGAGTTGCCGATGCTCGAACTGCTGCTGCTGGCCGAGCTGACCATGCTGGCGCTGCTGCTGCTGGCGCTGACGCCGCTCACACCGCTGGCACTGCCCCCACTGTAGCTGCTCCGCTTCCAGGTCTCCCTGGCAGACCGCTGCCGAGGGCCGTGCTCCTTGATGTAATTTCTGACCTAAAGGGACAGGGAAGGGGCAAAGGGTTAGGAAAAATAGCTGGAAAAATTGGGGGGGAAAACAGGTTTTTTTCCAAATGGCTTTGGGGGGGGGGAGGGGACCCTATTTTTTTAATCCAATTTTTCTGTGTTTTTTTTTTCCAGGCCTTCCCATCTCTATGTCTTGACTGTATTACACTGACTACTTTCGATTAATTTTACAGTCAATCCAGTCTGGCATTTGCTGTTTGAATTCGTTCAAGTATAAAGTCGAGGATCTTGGAACAGAATTGTTCTTATTTACAGAGATACACGCAGCATAGCAACCTCAGACAGGCTGTGAGAAGGGAGCAGAGCATTTGGATTTACAAGACCAGAGGCTGCTTTCACATACCTGTTTCAGCTTTTCATCCGTGAGGCAGTTCAGTTCGATAATGAATTCATTGTCCGTGGGTGAAATCTGAGCCGTCGGATCAATAATTTTGATTATATCAAGCTGCTCTCGAAGGCCCATTTCCATACTGACTTTCCGGCTCAGATATTCAATATATTCCACCTGGAAACAAAACCCACACATATTTAACGTTATTAATGTTGCTGAAAGGCGTCGCTTACAGAAGCCAGATAGGTGCTTGGCAACTGGCATGTATTTATGATGGCTGCCGTATCTCAGAGTTGTGTGAATGCCATTTGCAACCTTCCCAACTGGCTTCCGACAAGCAAAGTCAATGGGAGAAGAAAGATTCGTTTAACGATTGCCTGACTCGCTTAACAACGGCGGTGAATCGCTTAACAGTTGCAGCAAGAAGGGACATCAAATCAGGTGTGACTGCATTGCTTCACAACAGAAATTCTGGTCCCAATGTGGTGCCTACCTGCATTCCTTCAGATTTGGGTCTAATTAACCAATTAACTAGTCTAATTGACTCTCTTGCTGGTATAATTTACTGTAAGAGACCCTCTTCTTTCTTTCTTATTTGATCTGGCTCCTTTGCATACCCCATGCTCCCAGTCCCAAGTCCAGGACCGTATTTTGGAAGAGGTCCTCCAAATTGCCAAGGATTTACCTGCTCATCGTTGGTCATTGCGCTCCAGGGAAGTTCATCAAGATTCCGGTGTTTGTTTTTCTTTTTGGGAAGCAGGCAAGGAGAGCTTGGGATGCTGGGAATGATATCGGACAGCACATCACTCCCGCTTGCAATGTCACTGCCGGGCAGCTTAAAGAGAATCGGAATACTGCGCTTAATAATGCAGATGATTAACACTTGCTGTATACGTTAAATCTACACTCAAGCCTAAATGGAGTAACATGAAAGACATTTCACTGCAGAAGCAGTGTTTATTTTTTTTAATAACCATGTCTAAGGCAGTGTTTCTCAACCCTCACCAGCTTTCAGACATGGGGGCTTCAACTCCCAGACTTCCGCGCCAGCACATCTTAAATTTGAGAAACCTGATCCCACCATCCTTTCAAAGGACTTCCACAATCCTTTGTAATAAAAGACAAAGATATAAGAAGGGCAGTTACAAGAACTGGGTATGTTTAGAGAAAAGAAGGACTAGGAGAGACATAGCAGTCTTCCAATATCTGAGGGGCTGCTGCAAAGAAAGGGGTGGGGGGTCAAGCTATTTTCCAAAGCACCAGAAGGCAAGAGAAGAAACAGTGGATGGAACCTCATCAAGGAGAGAGAAACTGGTCTAACATTTTGAGGGTTGTTCTAACGACTCTGGCAGCTTCTAAATGCATTGGACAGCACAATTTATCCCCTTCACCCAAGCCACTGCAAACTTTTTTTTTTTTTTACCTGCCATTCAAATTCACTGTCTGACCAGTCCCAGTATGTGCTAATGGAGGAAGAGACATCGCTACAGACACTCCCCTCGGGGAACAGGTCAAAAGAGGTTAATTCCTGGTCATCCAAGAGAGAGAAACAATCATCCTGGTCGCCCACAGAGACCGAAGAGAAGAGCTCCTCGCTGCATTCGGAGCTGGCTACGCTTGTGCCACAAGAAGTTAAGTTCCATCTGAAAAAGAAAATGTCAAAATTGAAACATAGTCAGAGAAGCAGGAAATTGTGACTTATTTTAAAGGACTATCTCAAGAATCTTGCCAACCTTCCCACCTTTCATTGGTTTGCTTCCCACCGTACTTTTTTCTTAGTTTTAATGTTTTTAATCTGTCATCACTCAGTTTTGCTGGGAACTGGGTAACATACAGATGTAATAAATTATCATTTACAAAGCAGAGTATTAGAAGTAATCCAACTAATCATGTGTCATTAAATCAGTGTTATTTCGTAGCAACCATACAAATTTTCTGCAAGAAATAACGCGAACACTCTACCTTAAATGCCCCGAGCTGGGATTATGAAAGAAGTAGAAGATACCTACATTTGTCTCCTACAAAAGCAATCAAATCAAAACTCACTTCCTTCCTACAGCATTTCAAAAAGAGTACTCCTCTACAAACACACCAATATTTGTAGTAGTTATGTTACTTATAAAGCTGCTGCCAATAGTGAATTGGCCAATGCTAAAACCTCAGCTAGGAAGAGCTGTGTCAGGCAACAGAAATATTTTGCCACTGTATGTCCAGAAATAAGCACGGAAGGCACCCAAAATGTTGATTTTTACAGTTAGAAAAATAACCGCAAGGGTAGCAATGCAGAGAATTCCCAAAGACAAAATCAGTAAATAACTATAATTTCCTGCACTGGCTTTCATGATCATAGGAAGGGGCAGAAAGCTTTCCCTGACCCCTTCGGTCGCCTGCTCCTTTGAGCTTTTAAACTGACAGAAACGCTTGGATCCACCCCCAACCCTCCACATGGCTCTTCCTCCTCCAGCTGGATGGATGGATGGATGGATGAAGGAGTACGAGGGGAAGACCCCCTGCCCGCCCCCTTCAGGCCCTTCCCCGACTTCAGGACCCATCATCCCTGTCCTCCTTCTGCCTCAGGGCCCATTGGGCATCCTCCAGTCGAGTGGGGGGGGGGGAAGGGGTGCCTGACTAAAAACAGACCCCTGTCTCCTCACAACAACCCTGCAAGGTAGGCCAGCCGGAGGTCCCGCCCGCCCCTTCCATCCCTTCCCCAACCTCAGGGCCCATCATCCCCACCCTCCTTCTGACTCAGGGACCCATCAGGCAGCCCCTAGTCTACGAGGGAGGGGGGGAAGGGGTGGCTGATTAGATACAGAGCCCGGTCTCCTCAACAAAACCCCATGAGGTAGGCCGGGCAGAGGCCCCTCTCCTTTCCTTCCTTGACCTCAGGACCCATCATCCCCGCCCTCCTTCTGCCTCAAGGGCCTAATAGGCGGCCCCCAGTCTGAGGGGGGGGATAGGGAGGCGGCTGCCTAAGAAAACAGACAGAAGCCAGTCTCTTCACAACAACCCTGCGAGGTAGACCAGGTGGAAGGCCCACCCACCCCCTTCCCCGACCTCAGGACCCATCATCCCCGCCCTCCTTCTGCCTCAAGGGCCCACCAGTCTGTGGGGGAGGGGAGGCTGCCTAAAAACAGAGCCCGGTCTCCTCAACAACCACAACCCCGCGAGGTAGGCCGGGCGGAGGGTTCCCCCACATCTCCCGGGCCTCGCCTGTGGGCGTGCAGGCGGCGCAGCGGGTCGGTGCGGTGGCAGGACGAGAGGTGGCAGCCGAAGTCGCTGACGTCCAGGCAGGCCGGGCCTTCGTCGCCCAGCCGAGGCGGGTGGCGCAGCGGCAGCTGCAGCGGCGAGAGGACGGCGCCGGGCTCGTCGGGCGCCAGGAACTTCTGCGGCTCCTCGCCGGCCATGCCGCCAAGGGGGAGGGTGGGGGGTGGGAAAGGCCGGGCCTACGCCGCTCCTACTCCTCCTCAGCCGGCAGCCATGTGGCGAAGTCCCGCCGCCGCCGCGCCGGACGACGGAAGAAAAAAAACAAAACAAAAAGAAAAAAATAAAATCGCCTCAGGCTCCAGCGCAGGCCGGCTGCCGGAAGTGGCTTTCGCGAACTTCCGCTGGCTTGCGGGGGGGGGGGGGCGAGGGAGAGCGCGCTCGCTCAAGGAGGGCGATCTCATTCCGCTCCGCAGCGCCCCCTGCGTTGGAGGGTGGGAATGCGCCCTGGGAGCCAGGAGGAAGGAGGGGATTGGAGGAGGTTTCTTTGTATGACTCGCCAAGACTGATATGTAAGAATAAGAGCAAACAACCCCCCACTCGCCTTTGGTACTGATGGCGTTACCTAGTTGGGTCGTGAAAGGTCTGCGAGGAAACAAGCAGGCTCAGAAAGCATCAAGGGCTGTCCGTCCATCTGTCTGTCTGTCCGTCCGTCCGTTGGTCTGTCCGTCCAGACAGACGGATGGACAGACCGACGGATGGACAGACAGACCAACGGACGGATGGACGGACGGACAGACAAACGGATGGACGGACAGACAGACAGACGGACGGACGGACAGATGGATGGACAGACGGACGGACAGATGGACGGACGGACGGATGGATGGACGGACGGATGGACGGACGGACAGGCCCCACAGTCCTCCTCCTCCTCATCTTTTATCTATCTATCTATCTATCCATCCATCCATTTATCTATCTACACCAGGGGTCTCCAACTTTGGCAACTTTAAGATTTGTGGACTTCGACTCCCAGAATTCCTCCGCCAGTCATGTTAGCTCAGGAATTCTGGGATTTGAAGTTCACAAGTCTTAAAGCTTGCCAAGTTTGAAGACCCTTGATCTACACTAATGTTTCTCAACTTTTCATCCATCTATACATCCATCCATCCATTTCTCTATTTGGATCAGTGTTTCTCAACTATTCACCCATCCATCCATCCATCTATCTATCCATCCATCCATGTCTCTGTCTACACCAGCGTTTTTCAACTATCCATATCCATCCATCTATCCCATTTATCTATCTAAATCAATGTCTCTCATCCATCCATCCACCTGCACCAGTGTTTCTGGCTAGGCTAGAAGGCAGTGGGGCTTTGCTCTCTGTTTATATACAAGCCCCTTCTAACACTGATGATGTTACCTAGTTTGGTCATGAAACATCTGCAAGAAACCACCAAGCTCAGAGAGCACCCACAGTTCTTCTCCTATTCCCTTTTTCCTTCTCCTTCTCTTCCACTCTGCAAACTATACTCCCTTTCTAGCACTGAAGATGTTACATAGTTGGGTCATGAGACGTCTGCAAGAAAACATTCAAACTCAGAGAGTATCCAGGACCCCACAGTTGAGCCCAGAGCTACAAATATTATCTTATATCAGTTCTACTGTCCAGCTTGGTTGCAATTTGGGCCCAGACAAGCATTAACCAACTCTAGCTTTCTTTACCTTTCCAGCCCAGGCAAGATCAGCCAAGTGCTGCCATCAGTTGATAAAGTCAATGAAGATGAGCCCCAGGTGCAAATTCTGACCCTTTCTTGAAGATTTCCAAATGAACAAGGGGTAATGGCTAACTCTTATGTCCCTCAACTTCAGTGGCTTGAGGATATCTGGACTTCAACTCCCAGAATTCCCCAACCAACACAGACCTCCGGGAGCTGAAGTCTATAGTTCTTCAAGCTGCCAAGGCTGAGAAACATTGGAGTAACTTATCCAGTCTAATGTGCAACTTGATCAGTGTTAATCTGATTAATTAATTTATTAGTGCTCTACTAATCTCACAAGCGGGATTTGGGCCATGTCCCAACTAAGCTTTGCTTAGTTCAGCACATTATGCAAGGATAGCCTCTAACTTAATCTCTATCTCAAGGTAAGGAAAGATGTGGAAGATAATTCCAATGACCATATTTTCTTGGAAAAAAATAAATGGAAACCTGGAAATAAAAAGGTTATGAGGATTTTGAAGTGATGTTCAAAGCATTGCTTTGCAGAGGGAAAAAAAAACCTCAAGAGCCAAACCAAGGAACAGTTTTCAAAAGCACCCTTTCTAATAAAAAATATCTACAATCAAACCGTATTAAACGTGAATTCATTCTTAAAAGATATCCATCGTTTTCACACGAACATGAAGAACAGTGTTGGAAGTGATACCATGGATATGATAAAAAATTAAATGACCCAAATAAAGAAGGGAGAAGTGATTTTTTTAAAAAAATAAAAATAAAGGGGTATTTTCTGATATAAAATACTGCCCTTTGCAATAAAGGACATGTGATCACTGTAAAGAGAACCCATCAGGCTGGCTTGGAGGATGCAAAAGCAGCCAGGAAAAAGGCTACCACACCTCTGGAAATGAAACTTACACATCCAGAGGTGGAGAACTACAACTCCCAGCAGCCTCTCGGTCACATCCGACCAATCGCCAAGCGAGCCTCCGGCAAAAAAAAAAAAGATATGCGTCGGGCTGTTACGCCTTTCTGTCGCTAGGGTGCGCCCGCGAGGAATGGAACGTTCCCCGGGAATGGGGAGAGGTCACGTGGGCGATCCGGCTGGGTTTGCTTTTGCTTGCTCTGCAAAAGCAGCGCTTTTTTTGCAGAAACTCGGCGCCTGCCTCGCCTTCCTTCCTTCTTTCTTTCTTGTTTTTTTTTTTGCGGGGCGAAGGAGCTGCCATGACGGCGGCGGGGAAGGGGGTGTCTCCCCCTTACCTGCCCCCGGGGCTGGCCGGCGAAAGCAGCCTGAACAGGGCCAGTTTTTGGGGGCCTCGCATACCCCCCCAGGTAGAAGCCATGGCGAAGAGCCTACAAGAGCTAGAAAAGGAGATTTTCCGGAAACTCCTCAAAGGTAAACAAAAAACAAAAAAACCCTTTTACAGGGCGAGCTCCTAAAAACGGGGGGGAGGAAATAATTAGCTTTTTTATTATTTTCAGCGTTTCTGCAATTTTGGGAGAATGTTATCTATTTTATTTTATTTGTTTGTTTGTCAAACATGTACAAGATAACAAGTGTAAGTATGAACATAAGAACAAATAAGTGGGGACAGTAAGACTTTAGGCTTTATGTTTCTGGAGATTTTGTGATGGTGAGTGAGTGGTATTTCGCTTTTATATATATAAAGAAGTAAGAAGATAACAGGGAAGGGACTTTAGAGGTCTTCTAGTCCAACCCCATGATGTGAAGGGCAGGAAACCCTTGAAAGCACCAAAACACAAACAAAACATTAACTCTTTTTTTTGCCTTAGAACAATTGAGAGAATGTCAAAGCAAATTTTTTATCTTCTTCTCTGGAAATAAAATAATTTGTTTCTCAACAGCATCTCGCTTCACTTAAAGAGGCAACATTTTTTTTCCTCCTTCATTCAAAATATTTCTGTGTTCCCGGAGGTTTGCTTAGGTTGCCCGGCCTTGAACTTTGTGTTATAAGTAATAAAAAACAAAACGGGGATGTGACAGAGAAATTTGCAACAAACTAAACTGTTTGGCAGACCAGCAGGCTTTTCATCCGCCCTTGAAAAGATAGCAATGGAGAAGTGAAATTCTTTGGAGAGGGGATCTTGGGCCTAGAGAAAGACCTTGGTGGGAGAACTTAATTCATAATTAGCCAATATGAGATCAACATCTCCCTGGATATGTAAGATCCAACCACTGAATTTAGCTTTTCCAGCATTGCTCGTCCCCCTAAAACTTTTTCTGGAAATCAATCAATAAGCATTGATTAAAAACCATGGTACCGTCGTGCAAATAATGCAAAATATTTGGGTCCGTTGTTTGATGCTAGCATGATACACAGGCATGAAAGAGGTATGTAACCCAGGCCTTTCGAAATCTCAGAAAGGCACTTCAAGAAATCTACCCTCGTTGCTAGCAAATGCAGGTAGTTCTCAGCTTACAACTGTCCCATATAACGTCCATTTGAAGTTGCCAACGGCACTGAAAAAAAGGACAGGTCCCCGTTTTTCACACGGTGGTGGCAGCATTCCCCATGGCCATGTGATCAAAATTCGGACTCTTGGCAACTCTTGGCAACCGATTCATATTTACGATGGTGGGCCCTGTCATAAATCTGAATCGGAAGTCCCTTTTGCGACCTTCTGACAGTAGGGAATTTAGGGCATCTGGCAGACAGTCTTGTCGAGAAAGTGGGGTTTTTGTTTTTGTTTTTGTTTGCAAATGCTGTGGATTTTTGGAGACTGGAAACAGTCTGAAAATGAGATTTATTTTTTTTCTGGCTGGTGCTTGGAGGTGGGGGTGGATGTCAGACGCATGTTTAAACTTTTGTGCCTTTTGAGTATTTACGACTATGGAGGCATCATCGGGTCCGTGATGCTACTTCGGGCTCAGCCTTATGGGAATTGGAGTCTTTATTCGGATTCTTGGGTTTCCACAGCCACCGTCGGCGCCTTGGAAGGAAAGGAGTGCCAAGCCTTGGTAAAGACGGTCGCTGAGAGTGCCCGTCTGTCGGAGGAGCAGCTGGCCGTCCTCCTGGCTGGCATGTATGGCCTCCTCCGCGAAGCTTTGAGGCTCCCTCTGTCTTCTCTCAAGCAAGAAGTGAGTGTTCCTCTTTAAATTTGGATGCAAAAGAAGAGAATGGGAACGGAGGTGCCCATCCGTTTTCTAAGGCCTTGTTTGGTGAAATACCAAGGAAATTCTGACAGCGAATTAGCTCTGATGATGTTCCCTCGTTTGGTGATGAAGCGTCTGCAAGAAAACAGCCAAACTCAAAGGGCACCAGGGATCCACAGCTGCTCTCCTCCTCCTCCTCCTCCTCCTCCTCCTCCTCCTCCTCCTCCTCCTCCTCTTCCTCTCCCATCCCTTCTAGCACTGATGATGTTCCCTTGATTGGTGATGAAACATTTGCAAGAAAATAACCAAACTCAGAGCACCAGGGATCCACAGCTCTTCTCCTCCTCTTCTCTTCTTCTTCTCCTCCTCTTCTCTTCCTCCTCCTCTTCTTCTCCTCTCCCTCCTTCTCCTCTTTCTCTCCTCCTCCTCCTCTTCTCTTCTTCCTCCTCCTTCTCCTCTACTTCTCCCATCCTTTCTAGCACTAATGATGTTGCCTTGTTTGGTGATGAAACGTCTGCAAGAAAACAGCCAAACTCAAAGGGCACCAGGGATCCACAGCTCTCCTCCTCCTCTTCTTCCTCTTCCTCTCCCATCCCTTCTAGCACTGATGATGTTCCCTTGATTGGTGATGAAACATTTGCAAGAAAATAATCAAATTCAGAGCACTAGGGATCCACAGCTCTCCTCCTCCTCTTCTCCTCCTCCTCTTCTCTTCCTCCTCCTCTTCTCATCTTCCTCCTTCTTCTCTTCCTCTTCTCCTCCTCCTCTTCTCCTCTTCCTCCTCCTCCTTCTCCTCTACCTCTCCCATCCTTTCTAGCACTAATGATGTTGCCTTGTTTGGTGATGAAACGTCTGCAAGACAACAGCCAAACTCAAAGAGCACCAGGGATCCACAGCTCTCCTCCTCCTCTTCTTCTCCTCCTCCCCCTCCTCTTCTCCTCTTCCTCCTCCTTTTTTCCTCTTCCTCCTCCTCTCCTCCTCCTCCTCCTCCACTCTAACACTGATGATGTTCCCTGGTGTGGTGATGAAACATCTGCAAGAAAATAACCAAACTCAGAGCACCAGGGACCCACAGCTCTCCTCCTCCTTTACCTCTCCCCTCCTTTCTAGCACTGATGATGTTGCGTTGTTTGGTGGTGAAATGTCTGCCAGAAAACCACCAAACTCGGAGAGCACCAGGGACCCCACAGTTTCATCGTGAGCTACAAACACTCACGGCCTAATGTCTTCTCCCTCTTTCCTCTGACAGGTGTTTAAAGAAGATTTGAAATTGCTCAGGTATGTGTCCTTTTCCTCTGCTGGCAGGGACCTTAGCGTAAGTGATGGGGCCATGTGGTCCAGGGTGGGCTGCTTTGCAAGAGGCTTCCGGTAATAATAGGCCAAGCATCCGTTAAGATACGGGGACTTCCAACGACCAGAATTCCCCGGCCAGCTATGCAGTCCCTCCTTCCCTCTCTGAACTGCTTTTCCAAATGTCTTGATCTTTTTTTTTTTTTTTTGACATCTTTTGTCTCTGTTTTCCCTTTTCTCCTTTTCTCTCCCACACCAAGTATGGTTTTCATTTGACTGAAAAACCATTTCTTTTTCCTATGACTAACCTAACCAGAAAAATTAGATGCTGCAAGGGATTTGGCCAACTCCGAGGGGTGATGTTTGTAAATTGTGGGGGGTCTTTATTAAATCTTCCAGGGCAGCTGGAAAAAAACAACTTCAGAATCAACCCTTCCTTCCTTCCCTCCCTCCCTCCTTTCCTTTCTTTTCCTTTCCTTCCTCTTTTCTCCTCTCACCTTTCCTCCCTTCCTTCTCCATCCCTTATTTCTCCTTCCTCCATTCCTTCTTTTCTTCCTTCTCTATCCCTTATTTCTTCTCCCTCCCTCCTTTCTTATCCCTCTTTTCCTTCCTTCTCCATCCCTCCTTTCCTTCCTTCTCCGTCCCTTATTTTTCTCCCTCCATTCCTTCCTTCCTTCCCTTCTTTCCTTCCTTTTCCTTCCTTCTGCATTCCTTATTTCTTCTCCCTCCATTCCTCCCTTCCTTCCTCCTTTCCTTCCTTCCTTTCTTCTCCTTCCCCCTTTCTTCTCCCTCCTTTCCTTCCTTCTCCCTCCCTCCTTTCCTTTCTTCCTTTTCCTCCATCCCTTATTTCTTCTCCTTTCCTTCCTTTCTTCCCTCCTTCCTTCTCCCTCCTTTCCTCCTTTTCTTCTCCATCCCTTCTTTCTCCTCCCTCCATTCCTTCCTTTCTCCTTCCTTCCTCTCCCTCCCTCTTGTCTGGTAATTTGAGACAGAAAGAACGTATTAAAGCCCATTTGCCTTTCCCTTACTCAATCCTCCCTTTTTCAGGATACCAGAGGAATTCATTGCCGATTTTGCAAAGGTGGTCTTTGGGAACAGGTTAGTCCATTTTCCCATTTCGTTCTCCTTAGCCTTGCCTTGTTTCCTGCAATAAAACTTCTCAAGCGGGAAGGGAAAACCTGCAACTAAGCTAGCAGCGAGCAAACCTAACTCTACGCTCCAGAAACAAAATAATCATGTCCCTGTCAACTCATAAAATATTTCTATGGTCTTTTTAGAGCTGCCAACAGACAGGGAGTGGGGGGAAAGGGGTTTGAAAGAGCAGTGCGGCAGCTTGGAAATCGAAAGTGCATTCCATAAATGTTTTCAAAGATAGCAACTAGGTGACGGGCGTTTCTGCCGTGCAAAATTCTAACTGGAGAACATGATTGGTGACTCTGGGCTATGGATGTGTCCCATTGGAGAATATGAATTAGGGGTGGGGGGGAAACCAGGGTCAAGATTGACAATGAATGATGTGTCTCGGAATTGTCTGCACTCAGGCAGTGCTGGGCATGTAACTCTCAATAAATCCTTTGGAAGTTTTGGAAGTTTGGCTCAAGACTAAGGATTTAATTGGGGTAATCCTAACGCTCCTTTCTTAGTTGTCAATGTAAGGAAGGAGAGAGAAGAAATAAAAACTTTCCCTTTTCACTTTCATTCGCTGCTTCCGACTCTTCTTTGGGAGCGATATTATCTTTTATAAAATTTAAATTCCAGGGTACCTTAGTTGTTGCTTTTTAACCCGGTCAGCCAAAACTTTCACTTCTTATCTTCCTCCTGCACTTTCTTTTCCAGTTGAGTGCTTCTTTGAGGTGGCCATTTCTGACCACCGCTCCTACCGCCTTCGGGAAAGGGAGTTTGGCCAGCTGAGGAGGAGAGATGCGGCTCCCCTCAACCCTGCTGGCGATCTCTCCCCTCTTCACCACCTCTACGGGGTGGCTTAGCCCCGAAGCCAGCTGGCTCAGGGCGCTCCAGCTGCGAGCCCAGGCAGAGACCGCGCACGATCGCGGATTCCTGCCTGCCGCCGAAGCCCTTCAAACTGGGAGTCCCCCTAATGCTCCTTTCTTTTTGCCTGGAGAAACAGCTTGTTCTTCCAACCTGCTGCCTTTTTAAGAGTCCGTGGTCTACTTTCTAGGCAACATTGCCCCCTCCTCTTTCTTACAGACGCCCCCTCCTCGAAGCCGCTCTTCAGAAACAAGGAAACCGGCTTCCCAGAATCGAAGACTTCAAGTGGAGAGTGGATGTTGCCCTTTCAACCAGGTTGGGAATTCTAGCCAGTCTCCCGGCGGGGAGGTGGTTTGAGTTTGCTT